TTCCATTTGGAGCTTGGTGGAAAGATGGTCCCTTTCTGCGGTTGGTCAATGCCAGTGCAATATAAAGATGGTGTACTACCTTCACATTTACACACTCGGCAGCATGCCTCTCTGTTTGATGTATCCCACATGTTGCAATTTAAAGTGCATGGAAGTGACAGAATTAAATTTTTGGAAAGCCTGGTAGTTGCAGATATTGCAGGACTTGCAGATTACACAGGGACTCTTTCTCTGTTTACCACAGAAGATGGTGGGATTATTGATGACTTGATCATAAACAAAACACCTGAACATTTGTATGTAGTGTCCAATGCAGGGTGTGCAGATAAAGTTTTGGAGCATCTTCAGGTAACTATGGAACTTATGATTTACATGTTGTAAAATAACATTCCCATAGAAGTAATGGCCATAGTCACATCTTGTCCCCTAAGAGGGAGTAGCATCTAATTTCTCTTTACAATAACACCCCTGAATCAAATAAGTAAGTTGATGAGAATAAAGGAAATGATCACCAATGAAAGAAGCTCTTGATCGGTAAACAAATTCTCCTTGTCAGCACCTCAGGAAATGTATAGAGAACAGTATGGAGAATATGCACCAAGAGCTAGGCCATTATGAACTCCATAATGGCCTTACTCACCATGGAGTGTCTGTGGCTCATTGGTAGGATATTGGAGCACAGAATCCAAAGGTCTAAGGTTTGATTCCTCACAGGGACTCTGTTTTTTTCTTTTTCACTTTGTCCCAACCTTGTGACAAGACTATTTCTTTACTTAGCTCAAAAATTGACCATCTTTCTTATCCTTTTTTCATCATTTTATTGTTTCACAATATTTATCCCAGGAATTTTACACAGGGGTTTCAATAAAAGCCAGTTACCAGTGGTCTACCACTGCCTTTAACCCTTAAATTCCTAAGACCTAATTGTTAATTCTTGCCTTTAGCTGCTGCACATTTCCTGGTAACTTAGTTACAAGAATTTGGTTTTAGATCAAGATAAAAACTACCACCTGATAAGTTTGAGTATTCTCATTAGCTGTTTGCTGTATAATGTATGGATGTGATAGAGAGAAGTTTCATGTGATCACTTTTAGGATTTAATCCTTAAACTCTCATGAGTGACATTTCTCTTTACATAATCAATACAATATCAAGAAGACAAGTGATGAGAGTAGAGAAAAATTAAAATTTAGGGGATTATAAGTTGATCCACTACCAAATTCTCCAAACTAACATCACAAGAACTGTATGGCAGACAGTAAGGAGAATTACTAATAAGATCTTGGGTGTTAAAGGGTTAAACGGTTAGGACCTCTGACCACCATCTGTTTAGCCTGTAAGTAAGCTCTTGTGTTTGGGATATGCATTACAGCACACCTGCTTATTACACCATTGGCAGCTGTGTATGGAAAAAAAATACAGAAAAAAAATCCCTGGTTTACCTGAAGGTCTTTATGTCATTCTTTGCCTGAGTGAAGACATATTGAACTTGGACACTTTGTTAATTGTGGAGGCGCGGTGGCCTCATTGTTTGTGTGCTCAACTCCAGATCAAGTGGTCTGGGTTCAAGCCCTGGCCGGGGTTATTGTGTTGTGTTCTTAGGCAAGACACTTTACTCTCACAGTGCTTCTCTTCACCCAAGTGTACAAATGGGTACCAGCAAATGTGCTGGGGGTAACCCTGCGATGGACTAGCATCCCATCAAGGGGGGAGTAGCAATACTCCTAGCCGCTTCATGCTAAGGAAACTGAAGTTAAGCATCGGCCCTATGGGCCACTTGGGCCTGTATAAAGGCTTTTTACTTTGTTAATTAGGTGCTTACTTGATTGATGAATTAATTACTGAAAGACCATAGTCCTTCCTCAAGTTACATGACTAAGGCATTGTACAGCTATGTAGTTATTAATCGGTCTAGCATACCATGCTTTTGAACAGGATAGACTGAAGGCTGTGAACAATGATTTGGGTGTTGCACTTGAAGTTCTTGAGGACAAAGCACTTGTTGCGTTACAAGGTACTTAGAGACATTTGTATGCAGTTTAAAATGGCAATTTATTTATGTGAACATCGACAAAAACCCACCGATACGTTTTACTGAGTGTTCGCTTTCGTCTTGAAAAAGGAAACAAAATATTTCTATGAATAGTAGCGTTTTCGGTTTGCCCTCAGCTATCCACACTGCTGTGTTTTCATTAAAAATCACAGATCAGTCTCAGTCTCTGAGCAACTACGCACGTTAACCCTTATTTGTTATCGGTTGACTGTTGTTGGCTTATGGAAGGGGTAGGTGCGCAGTTGGTCAAATACTCACATTGATCCAAAATCACATAGGTGTTTATGCGTTTTCGTCTATCGTCCATACTAGAATACCCGAAAACGCAGATGGAAGTGACAGTACGTAAAGCATTTTTCGTCATCGTCTCCAAGAGTGTACATTTTCACTTTTCCACACAAGAAACGGAGCGTTTTAAGAGCGATACGTTTTCAAAACACTCCTCTTTTGAAATCTTTTTCTATTAAAAAGATTCCTTTTTTATCAACAGTTGTGAGCGGTTAACAATAAATTACAGGCAAAAAATGCAGAATAAATAAGCGTTTTCTGACGAAATCGCAATAGCATGAATGGGGTCTCATATTTCAGTTTGAGATGGTCAAAAAGTAGTTGTCATCAAATTACGAGAGTCGATGTAAATATTCTATATATTAATCAAGTGTGGATGTACATATATTTCAGGACCTCAAGCTGCCAAAGTTCTTCAAAGTGGTGTGCAAAGTGATCTAAGTAACATGTTTTTCATGCACGGTGGCGTAGTGGAAGCGTTTGGGATCAAAGATGTACGAGTTACGCGTTGTGGTTACACGGGAGAGGATGGGTTTGAGGTAACGCGACTCTTGTCTCAATTATAAACCCGTTCCTAACAATCTCGTCTTCCGTTTATCGCCTACCTGCTCCCTCACACCGATGACGGAGTGCCTGAAACAGGTTACTTTTTTGCGTATCTTCGATCTATCCTGCATAAAACGGACAAAGCTGTAGTCATCACAAATAGAATAATACAGTTATTAATTTTGAATAATTTTTTTCGCTATGCGCAGCTGTCAGTGGACAAGGAGAGAGCTGTTGATTTGACGAAAGCATTATTAGAAAGCAAAGAGGCAGATGTTAAGCCAGCAGGCCTGGGGCCGAGGGACAGTCTGAGACTAGAAGCTGGGCTTTGTCTCTATGGAAACGATATTGATGAAAACACCACGCCTGTTGAAGCTGTTCTTGTGTGGACAATTGGTGAGTTGGTTTCATTTAAAAAAGAGGTCTGAGCACAAGATCTGGCCGGGTAATTGTGTCGTTTTTTATCCTTGTTGCGCATAATTTCATACGTAACCAGTGCGTTCACATTATAAAAAGTGGCGACTTTTACTCTATGATTGATCCTCGCCAAATAGGTAAATCCCAATTACCCAATCGGAAAGCGCTCATATATACTGTTGATAAAGTTGTAGCCACACGGGCTACGGGCACACGCTAAATATAATATCTGACAGCATTAAGATGTGTATTCCTTGATGGTGTGAAAAAGGTTATATGTGAATATCATACTTTTAAATTTTTCAAGGGAAAAGACGACGTGCTCAAGCAGACTTTCCAGGAGCGGAAATAATCCTCAGACAGATTAAAGAGAAGGCCAACAGGAAGAGAGTAGGGCTTGTGTCGAAAGGCCCTCCTGCGAGAGGTAAATTTTAGTTAGAAAATTTTGCGTCTCTTCTTTCTGAATGATACGAAATTTTGGATGTAATTTCTAAATACTGGGAAGTACGAAAGAAATATGTCGTTTTGTCTTGTCACGAGCGTGAAATAAAGGAGGAGATCTGAGTCCCCATGAAGAATCGAACCTCAGGCTTTCATACTTTCGGATTCTGCGCTTTGATGCAATGACCCAGAGTGTAGAGAATTCTTTGGTGACTCGGGTCCTTTCTTCTCTTGCATCCTTCTGGAATCAGCAATGTTGGAAAGCTTAAGTAGAATAACAAAGATGGTAAATTTTTAGCTCTGTCTTGAAGTAAGGAAAAACTGTTATTCGTCTTGTTACGAGCGTAACAGCCATACCAGATGGTAATTTTTTTGTTTGTTTTTTTTCAGCGGGGGCAAATATTTTAGATGCTGATGGTAACAAAGTAGGTAGGTGACATTTAAAAAAACTGCGTCCATTTTGAATCCAGTTTATAAACACACGATATTACATCTTTTCTTTCGCGTAAAAACGTTTTATCGATTTTGGTAGTCCGGTTGGGTAAATCTTAACCCTTTACACCCTGACATCAGTATCTATATTCTCCACACACCTATCTATACTTGTCGTTTGGTATTGAAAAGGAGAATTCGTGTAATAATCAAAGGTTCTTGGGTAAGCGATCATTTTCTTTATTCTCATGATCTTAATGAATGATTCAGTAGCATTACTGAAAGGAGAAATTAGATGTTGGTCACTCTTAAGGGCCAAGAGGTTAAGGAGATTTAAATAGATCGCGTCAAGATCAGGTTTTTGAATTTCAGGAAGAAGTAGGAGGAAAGGGATGGAGGGGGGGGGGAGGGAGGGGAGAGAAACGAAAAAGATGCAAATTGTAAACAATGTCAGTTCCTTTCAGGCCCTTAACTCGCTGTATCCTCGATAAAAATCACCGAACCGATCAAGATCTATTCCATTAACCACACTGTATTCTCTAGAGCTTTCCTCTCTTAAAAGCATCCTTCCGCCATAAAAGTTATAGGTGATGATGTAGTCGAGGAAATCAGATCTCCCTTCATATTTTTGAGCTACCATTATTATTATTATTAAAAAGTGGCACACATGTTAGAATCCTAGGCTTGATCACGTTGTTATAGGTTTTTTTGCTTGCTTTGATGAAATTGTTGTTGTTCCCGTTTTTATTTTTATTTTTATCATCAACCAATCAAAACCAAATTCTTTGTGTTGCACTTGAATATTCCTTTTTTTTAAATTATTACTTTTTAGGTCACGTGACAAGCGGTTGTCCATCACCGTGCCTGAAGCAGAACATTGCAATGGCTTACGTACCAACAGCGTTATCCAAACCAGGGACAGCATTACATTTAGAAGTGTACAAGAAGAGAATTGACGCTCAAGTTGTAAAGATGCCTTTTTTGCCAACAAACTACTACTTTGGGAAATGAATATGAAGATGAATGATTTTAGAATTAAGGCCTGAAACGAAATGAGAAACTGAAATATCTAGCGTGACTTTCAAGTAGAAATACTTTTTGAAATTGACTACCTTTTAAAATGCTCTGTGAAACCTATCGAAGATAATTTATTTATTGATTATTTTATAGAGGTTTTTTAACGATGTCGTACCTATGGATTGAAGATTGAAGATTAAAGCACAACTCCAGCATTCAAATATTCTTATATATCAGATGTAGGACAGTTTTTAAGATATAAATGTTAAATATCATTACGTGTCGTTTTCATAGTTGTGAAAGGCATATAAGGCAGTTGGGAGGCATATAAGTCTATTTTGTAAAGAAAAAGATTATTTTGCTAAAGAAAGGTTTGAATGACAACAAACAAAGATGATGGTTTTTAAAAATGACTTCAGCGGCTCCTTTACCTTGTAGAGTACGCAACGTGCTCGATCTGTTGATCTTCGAAATTCCTCAAAATATTGATACACAAATAAAA